TCACCTAACAGCCCTCAGTCACCTAACAGCCCTCAGTCACCTAACAGCTCCCGAAGGTGATTCTTGTCCTCATTATCAGCAAGCTGGTCATCATCACAGCAGTCATTAAGACTTATTTTTAATGGTAACCATTTTAAAATTAGACTCATTAACTACGTTGCTTACACACAAAAGATGTTATGTTTTTAAAGGTATCTTTTAAAGGAAACAATAGTTCCTGTTCATCACAAACAAAAAGCTGCGTGATTATTTAGTTTTGAGATCACAGGTCCGCTTTCGCTACCTAGTTCCTGACTTTTTTCGCTTCTCATCAGAACCTGTACACACTCTACAGAGAAGTGATACGGTAGCTGCCAAGGACAGAAAGTCCGCAAGGTACATAAGTGCTGATTCTGCTTTCAACCAGGACACTGTGCAGCACCCTGACACTGCACCCCAACACTAAGCTGCACCCCAACTTCAAACTGTTCCTCAGGGCAAAATGGTTCAGTCTGAGCCCATTCTAAACCTCTAGAAATGGCTTATCGGAGCCATGAAGCATTTTAGGCCAAAGTACTGCCTTCTGTCCCCCACAGGGATCTGAGGGGTCTAACAAACGCTCCGATCCATTAACGGGGACTCTTTTGATTTGAGCTGGATGGTGCTTCGCTAACAAACGTAAGGCAAGTATCCAGCCCCTTGCTATTAGTTCTGAGCTACGCCACCAGTGTACCTCTGCAAATACTGTCTTCACTGGAGTTGGCTGCAACAGTGGGACTCTCCGAGAAGACAGCATTTGCCGGTCACCAAAAGACAGGGTTTGTGAAAGCAGGGGAGGCTTTTGACTTTAGAAAGCCAGTTGCTCTGGCCTTTCCTTATCAAACAGTCTGGATGAATTATGAGAAGAGATCAGCCAAAAAAGTAGATTTTAAGAACTGTTTTGTAAGCCTGGGGGATGATGTTTAAAGCTGATTTCCTGATATCATTTGTCTAAAGTCATAGAGCTGAAGGCTCTAGTTGCTTTGATGCAGCTTCTGAGGAGCAGAGGGGAGGAGAGCGACAATGACAACTCCTTTCAGACTGACAGAAGAGGCTGGCAGTGACACGCCCTCTAGATCTGTGATGCATGAAAACAGCGCTCTGCATCATGGGTCTGCCTGTCCCACAGGCCAAGAGCTCTCAAGAGCTGCCTTCACTACAGGCGGACCTGCAGCCCAAATGCTTCGGACCCAGATCTTGCCTTTGTTTTCTCAGCTAAAGGTCAGGCAGGGCAGCTGGTTGGAAACGCTCGGCACTTGACGTCAGTGCTCCTTAGCTCTGCCTAGTTCTCTATCAAGAAACACGATGGGCAGCAGCTGGCTATTTCTGGAGCATCTGACCCCACTGTCTTTGGCAGGAGACCGCCAGGGAGCGCGTCTGCAGACTTTAAAGGGACTCCTATATGGACTGTTGTGCACCATCAAGTCAGAGCCCACTCATCGCTGATCCTCCAGCAGGTTTTTAGAGGAAGTAAATCTCATGGGAGGAGACTGTCCCATCTTTTTTCCGCTGAACAGTTGGTGGATTTGAACCATGTGTCTTTGGGTTGGCAGTGCAACCCCTTACCACTAAGCCACCAGAGTTCCTTAGATGGACTAGGCAGGTGAGGGGGAAGAAAAGAAGGTGGGAGACCCATGGGGGTAGGACAGGGGAGAGGAAAGGAGAGACAGGCAGACAGGGAGAGAAGGTACATGTATACATGTACACATTCAAGTGCAACACCCATCCCCTTGTTTGTGGCTCTGGAATTTGCAGGATGGCAAAGCCCTGAGGGGTTTAGAACTGAGTGCAGGCGTTCACTTTGCACACACCAGTATTTTAAGATAAGACACCTGAACCATTTGAGCCAGCAATTCCACTTCTGGGAATTTACCCTAAAGAAACCATAACTGCCACTCAAGCAGATATATGCACACCCATGTTTATTGTGGCTTTGTTCACAACAGCAAAGAGCTGGAAACAATCCAAGTGCCCATCAACAAATGAATGGATAGAGAA